CGGCCGAATCAATTAGGTCACGATATCGGTTACCGACTAATTGACGAAGCTCTTCTTTCTTTTCTTCGATTTGTTGTCGCGTTTCCGATTCGACATTGCGAATTTCGGGGATTGCTTTGGTGCGGAACAGTGATTCGGCGTCTCGGTAGCCTCCGCCGCTTAGCGTGGCGGTGCGTTCGTCGGTGACGGAGGGGGTAGATACTCTCATTGTTGAATGAATTTTAATTGATTTTACATGTAGGGAGAGCAGCAGTCTCTAGCGTGTGAACTAAAGTAGAGAGAGAGAGGGGTGGTGTTTTTTCTTTCTTCCTCTTTTTTTTTTTTGGGTTAGATCTGGAGGGGATGTGGGATCAAGAATATGGGTGTCTCTTGTATTTATAGTGATGGTAAATTTACGGAACCGACCCTCCATTTATTATATTTTCGTTTGTGATGAAGGGGAAAAGAAATCAGTAACAGCATTGGATACTTTTATACCGAACCTGTTTTTATTAAAATTTAAAAACAAATATTTAAAATTAGTATTTTTAGCATTTTTTTTAATTGTTTTAATATATTAATTATCCTCGATCTAGCTAAGAACAATCTATCTAGTGGCATCCCAAGTTCCAAGTGCTCACTACCTTGGCTTCGAGTTATGAAATTGAGCAGCAGCAACCTTTCTGGGAAATTGTCGTGGTCTTCACAAAACTGCCCAGGTTTATGAACACCTGATGCTGGAGACAACAAATTCTCTGGGAAGATACCGAATTGGATTGGTGAGAGGTTTTCGTCCCTGTTCATGCTAAATCTGCGAGCCACCCGCAAGACATTTCTCGTCGTATTGTCTAATATATGTAAATCTGCATCATAATTAACCTTCGGTTTCTGATAAATGTAGCTTGTTGGCGGAAGACAAAGGATTAAAATTTAGATAGAAAGAGATAGCTTTCCTAATTGTTGCAGTGTAAGCATTAAGAGTTTATCATTCATATGTTTCTGGATTTAGGTTGAGAATCGGTGGATTTCTATGTTTCTGAGCACAATAATACGGCAGTGTTTTGTGCTCAGACTTCTGTTGCAGGAACTGACTCGAAGTTGCTATCTGTAAACAGAGGCGAAATTCTTCAAACGACAGAACCTAACCTCGAGGCAAGTTTCATTCGCCAAGTTATCTGATGGAACTTGATTAGTTCATGGCCCTGGTTGAGACTTTGATTTTATAAAAAAAATCAAACACATAATTATCGTTATCTCGAAGAATTCAAAAACCTATTGACAACTAACGTACTTGCAGTCTCTGTCGGGTGGGTTTAATTCAAAAGCTCCATGCAGTCGAATATAGGGATGATTTTTTTACTCGTATTCAATAGATATCCAATGTGAATGTGTAGAAAATGTTTTACCCAGTCGAGTTCGGAACAGGTTCGAAAAGAACTTGGAGTTAAAGAACTCAGATTTTAGAGTGGGCATGGATGATATTATATTATATCTAACCCAATCTCAAATGCATTAATAGCCTTAAAATCATAAAATACATTTATTTATATATATAAAAATTAAGGTTTTTGCAGATCAGGTTCGAAAACAATTGGAGTTAAAAATTTAGATTTTAGATTAAGCACGAATAATATCATACCTAACCCAATCTCAAATGCATTGATAGCCTTAAAATCATAAAATACGTTTATATATATGTATAAAATTAGGGTTTTTATAGATCAAGTTCAAAATAAGATTTTAGATTGGGCATGGATAATGTTATACTTAATTCAATCTGAAATGCATTAATAGCTTTAAAATCATAAAATACATACATGTAAAGAAAATTTAGTTGGAAAACAACTTGAAGTTAAAAAATCAGATTTTAAATTGGACATGCCCATCACTTCCCTTCCTCTCGCTCACTCCCACTCTCTTCTTCTGAGAGGAGCACACCCGCGACCGCAACGGCTTCAGCAGATCCAGTAGCAGCAGTTCTCCTCGCAATAACAAATATAGAACTTGCGACATTTTGGCTCTCTTTGTGCATTCAATTGAGGGTGTGATTAGAACTATGATGATGGTGGTGGTTTGAAATATTTTTTACTCGACGACACTCAATTAATTTCAAGTATAAAAAGTGTATATCTCTCAGGTTTTGGGTTAAATATAAATAATTATTTTATATTTGAATTCAAATATAAATAATTACGAACTTGATTTATAGATATCTCAATCCATTATCATCTCTAATTCAATAATGGATTGAAGAAAGGAAAGAAGCATACACCAGCCAACATGTTGGTCAATAATATCTGATCAGGCCAGCCATCAAATCTTAATCTAACAGTTTTTAGAAGAGTTTATTTATGTGCTTTTTAGATTATTTTTATCCAAAAAATAAAATAATACCTTTTAATGTGTTTTTTTAGTGGGACACCATAGAAGTTATGTTTCAAAATATTTTTTATTAAAAAATATATTAAAATATTTTTTTTATTTTTAAAATTTATTTTCAATATTAACCCATCAAAATAATTTAAAAACAATAAAAAAATAATATAAAACAAAAATTTTAATTTTTTTTAAAGGATTGTCCATCTACAGTATCAAACACCACCTAATAATTTTAATATATCAATATTAAAGATAAAATATATTTTAGTAACTTTTTAATTAAAGAGTATTTTTCTAAACCATGGTGTATGTTATGCTACCAAACACAAACTCAATGGCCAACAAGGTACTAGAGTTTTCCTTTTCTTATTTTGCTTCCTTCCTTAACAAGCCGACAAGCCTGTAATTCAAGTGTTTGCCGGTCATCCGTTTCTCCCTTTGCTTTTTGACTTCAAGCCTTTCCCTTCGAATACTCTTTTATTATTATTATTATTATAAAGAGTTTCAAGATTTACACAGACAAGTTGAAGGTTTTGATTAGGTGATACTTGTATTGTAATAGGAAACGGAAACTTGTCTTCCGAGGGAATTTCATAAAATGTTTGTTTATATATATAATTAATTCCATCAATTTAATATGATTAAAATACATCATGGCTTTTTTTGGGCGAATGAGGCAGTGCAGCAATTAGTTCGAGGCTAGTTAAGAGAAAATTGAGAATTTTAAGAGTTGGACTGTCCATGTTCCAATGAATCCTTTTTGAACAAATAAATAAATTTATCCTTTTTAAAAAAAAAAAATTAAGGGCTCTCCTAACATGTGTGTGTGTGTGTTAAATTGACATGCGTATCTTCTGAATTAAGATTCCAAGATTCGGAAGGTTTTATCACAGCTAAGAAGGCCCTCCTCACCAATAAACGGCATCAATTCTTCCACGCAGAAGAAACAAAGCAATCAAATTTTTAAGTAAATAAGCAATGCAACCCGTGAAACAAAGCAATCAATTTTACCTGGAGCCTAGGCCAGGTAAGTTTTTTTTTTTTTTAAGAAGTTATCATTGACCGGATATATCCTTTTAAAATCCCAGTTTTATCTTAGATCCAATCAAAACTTGGTTTAAAACCCCTTACTTTTTTTAAAAAAATAATAAATAATATTGTTTTAATTTTTATATGAATTTTTTTTTCATGATCAAATTACCTAAATTATTTACAGATTTTTGTTTCAAGTTGGATTTAATAGCTACAAAAAACATATAAAAAAGAGTTAGGTATACGAGTCAAATCATGTCTTAACCCGTATAAATAGCCTGACATACTCACAAGGTCTATATTAAAAGGATGATGTGTTATTTATTCTTGTTTTTATAAAAAAATACAACATAGATAACACATTATTTAATTAAAAAAATAATATTTTATCTATATATACAAATAATATATCATTTAGGCTTGTAAACGATATATCATTTAAATATTTAAAATTTAATGATCAGATATTTGTCTATCAATTAGAGCAATGGGTTTTCAATCTTTTTAAAAAATATTTTTCAACCCAATTCAATCCTAAAACACTTATAAAATCTAACAAAACTTGTTTATGATTCCAAACAACCCACAAATATTTGAAAACCAAAAATTAACTTGTAAATAAAAAACTTTTCAAGGCCATATATACTTTCTCATGATTTTTAAGGGTTAAATAACACCCAAGTTAAACTTTATAATTAAACGGAACTTGTTAAAGTTAAACTTTATAATTAAATGGAACTTGTTAAATCTAAGAGTGACTTTTTCATGGTAGAATTAATATCAATTAAAACTTTATCTCTCTAACACCATAACTTGAAATTACTCTCTCTCTAATTAGAAATCGAAAAAAATAAAAAAATTTGAACTAAAATTGATTTTTCAACCTCTAAATGAACCTAAATTATATAATTTGTAAATATGGAGGATCAAAGCTTACTTTGGGGTAACTCTAGACACGACATTTATTTCGAGCCACTTTTTTTATTGTTTTACTTTGATCCTTTGCCTTCCAAATTTGCCTTCATCTAATAATTTAGAACTAATTGGTGTTCAATTATAATTATCATCCGAAATAAAAATTAATGGAAAAAAGGAAAAAAAAAGAACAATAAATCCACAATAATGTGTAAATGTGTGAACAAGACTTTCTCCACCCTAGAATGGCCACACCTCTTACTGTTTTCTATAACAATTGTAATTATAATTATAATTATAATATAATAATGCCAAAGAATGAAATGAGAGAGAGAGGGAGAGAGGTTTTTTCTCCCTCAAGAAACTTCTCTTGCAATACATTATCATCGATCATCATTTTTGGAGGCCATTCTTCGCCTACTGGTAAGTGACCGTCTATAAATACACTCCTCTTTCCATCCCTCATTGCCCACAAATTAAATACCCTTTCCTCCTTCCTCCTCCTCCTCCTCCAACCATGTTCTATCAAATCCATTAAAATTCTTAATTCCTTTTTTGATCACCAGACCTCTCTCTCCCCATCACCTACATGGCCAGTGAGAACAAAAGAGAGTGATATATACCAGAAACAACCCCCCCCCCCCCAACCCATGGCCAGTGAGAACAAAAGAGAGTGATATATACCAGAAACAAACCCCCCCCCCCAACCGGAAAAAGAAGAAAAGAAAAAAGAAAAAAGAAAATGCATTCAGCAAATCACTGGGGAGGATCGTTTGAGATTTACAATGGAGCTGCAGAATCAACAACCGACTATGAGAAGAGTCGTAACATGGAGAGGGACAAGGCAGCCTTGCATCCTCAACGCCATCATCTAGACGAGACACAACAGAGCTGGTTACTGTACCGACAAGAGACCAAGAAAAAAAAGTACGTCGACTTCGGTTGCATAGCTTGTAGCCACAGAGCCTTGAAGTGGACTCTTTATGCATTTGTTTTTGCTGTTCTTGTCATTCTACTCCCTACCGTCCTCGCCAAGACTCTGCCAAAGCACAGGTCGAAGCCTTCTCCTCCTGACAATTACACTCTCGCACTCCACAAGGCTCTCCTCTTCTTCAATGCCCAGAAATGTAAGTCAAGCCAAACGTTGCCACTTTTCTTTCCCCATATGTTCAGCTAGTTTCGTAGTAAATCATAAAGGGTAATTAATATTTTCGTATTTGCTCGCATGTATAATACATAATTGTCTCGTGCACGAACAATACAATTCAAGTTCCTTTTTTTCTATTATTATTTATTTATTTACAGGCTAAAAGAAAGCTAGCAATGAAATTAATGGGTTGGCTTGCATTGCAGGGCTGTCACTCCCACCTCGAGAAAAAAAAAAGATTTTTATAATAAAATAAAATAAAATATTTTTAAGGTGATGAGTAACAAAATAATAGGCTGTTTTGCTAGAATGGGGGACTTAAAAAGGGCTATAGATCACTAGATCCTTCTGAATTGAATAAAAATATATATTCTTCGTAATTAAAAACCGAAAACACATATATTTACATCAAAGAGAAGAGGAAATTAATTAATTAATTAATTAATCCTGTGATCTCACTTCATTATAATTAAACTAAGTGTTGGTTTGGGAATCATCAATCTGGTCGTGACTGTAACTATTAAGTACTTAATAATATTTTAAAAGTTATATAATATCATAACTTTTACACGTGTTATTTTTAAAAGCTATAGTTTATAATTTTTCAAAAGCTACCATCACACTTTTCAACCCTAAAACTGCAATTATGTTTCCTTTGTTCCCTTTTTTTAAGACATAATATATTTGTCAATGTATTTATTATTTTAAAGAAATTTATTTATTAACTCAATACTTATAATATCCATTGCATTATCATTTATGGGTTTTTCATTTTATCAGTTCAACAACTTTTTAAAAATAAATCTAATAGCAATAACATTTAATGTTAGGAACAAACATAAATTCAATATTTTCAAATAAATTATATATTCTGATAAACATGTTTTATTTGATTCCAAAAGTTAGGTTAATATATTTTTAAGAATACATGATAATAAAAATAAGTTAGGTTAATATATTTTATCTCGAATGAAAACAATTCAATAGGATTTTGAGATCCCAGACTGCAGGTTATTAGCTAATTTATTTTTTCTTACAATTATTCTATAACATTTAATCAGCCCGGTTCAAATAAGTATTTATATTTTTTTTATCCTATGACAAGTACGTTTCTAAATTAACTTAGTGTATAAAAAGACTAAATCTGTTCTCCTTGACAATTTTAAAAATGCATCTTTAAGAACAGAGGGAAATTTTTTTTGAGTGGAAAATTAATAATAATAATAATAATAATAAACTTTTTTAATCATTATACTAACAGTAGCCGTTTGAGATTTGAATAATATAGATATTATTTCAGTTTTTTACCGTGTATAAAAAGACTGTGTCCACCGTATTAGGTAAATAATTTTCAAATGTGCGTGAAACGGTTGATACGGAGCCTGTGTCCACCGTATTAGGTAAATAATGACTTTAGAAGCCCTTGTGCAGAAAGGTTAACAGCATGCCGTGTGGGCCCTTTGCGTGTAGAATAAACTCGCTGGTTCCCCTTCATTATCGCTAAATTGAAAAAAACACAATCTTATTCTTCTTTTTGGATCCCTTTTTTTCCATGAAAGCCCTTTCGAGTATGTTTGGTGGGTTTTCAATCAATCTGCAGAGTGAATTCCTTTAAATGAGCTGGTGATTTTGTGGCGTCCTCTCCCATTCTGTATCAGTTGTCTAATTTTAGATGGTTCGAGATGCATACAGCTTTTCTTGGACTGCCAGATTTAGCCTGTTAGTATTAGATAGTCATCAAGGCAATGAACCACCTACCAGAAGCATTAAGTGCATCACCTTCCCTTCCAATTCGACCTCTCCCTTGAAACTATTATTAAAGAAAAAGGAGTCCTTTTCAGGTAGTGAGGTAGGTACATGGATGGAAGAAACAAGAAATGACTAAGCAAAGGTCCATGTCTTGTCTAGTTGTGTGATGCTGTTTGATTACAGAAATTAATTAATCTAATCTCTTAATACTTTTGAATCGTTTTGATAAGTGGCCTGATCAAACAGTTAGGTTTGTAATTAGCTAGTGGTGGGTTTTATAATTATGTTTTACTACTATAGTTATAGAATTGACAAGCAAGTATTAATTGGGGAGCCATCGACGAATGTGGTGCAGCTGGTAAATTGCCCAAGAACAATGGAATACCATGGAGAGAAGATTCAGGGCTACAAGATGGAAATGGTTCTGATTTTTCTAAATTAGGTCTTGTTGGAGGATACTATGATGCTGGGGATAACACCAAGTTTCATTTTCCCATGGCATTTGCCATGACAATGTTGAGCTGGAGCGTCATTGAATACAGTCAGAAATATGAGGCCATTGACGAGTACAGGCATACCAGAGATTTAATCAAGTGGGGAACTGATTACTTGCTATTAACCTTCAACTCCAGTGCCAGCAAAATTGACAAGATCTATTGCCAGGCAATAATCTTCAATCAAAATGAATTTTATGTGCATTTGACTGTATTTCCATTTATCAAGACTAGAACAAACATAGCTTATTTTTGTGTTTATTTCCCAGGTTGGTGGATCTCAAAATGGCTCCAGACAGCCAGATGATCATTACTGCTGGCAGAGACCTGAAGATATGGACTATCCGAGGCCTTCCCGTTCTGTAAATGCAGGCTCTGACCTTGCAGGAGAGATGGCAGCGGCCCTCGCTGCAGCGTCTATAGTATTCCGAGACGACGACGTCTATTCAAAAAAGCTTGTAAGAGGTGCAGAGACAGTATATGCCTTTGCCAGGGATCTTGGAAAACGGCAACCATATTCTCGTGGGAAACCTTACGTTGAACCTTTCTACAACTCCACTGGATACTATGACGAGTTCATCTGGGGCGCTACTTGGTTGTACTATGCCACTGGAAATGTTAACTACATTAGATGGGCAACCGAACCAGGCTTCTCGAAGCACTCCAAGGCACTTTACAGGATTTCTGACTTGAGTGTGCTGAGTTGGGACAACAAGTTACCAGCAGCTATGCTGCTGTTAACAAGGTGCAGGATATTCTTGAATCCAGGATATCCATATGAGGAGATGTTGCATATGTATCACAACAAGACAGAACTTAACATGTGTTCTTATCTCCAACAGTTCAATGTATTCAACTGGACTGAAGGTACAGACATAAGATCTCACTCTTTAATCATGTGTTTTATGTGCTGATGTTTGCTTGAATAGATTATGTGCCAGTAGTTTTAACTTGTTTTTCCTTAATTTTGAATTTTTTCTGACGAGTTTTCAAAAACTTGCAGGGGGGGTGATCCAACTGAGCAGTGGAAGGCCACAGCCTCTTCAGTATGTGGCTAATACTGCCTTTTTAGCATCACTCTTTGTCGATTATCTGAATGCCTCTAGAGTTCCAGGATTCCAGTGTGGTTCCAAATTTATTCCACTGGATGTCCTTCGGAGCTTCGCCACCTCACAGGTGCCCTTTTCGAGATACTTGCTAATTATAGCTGATAAATTTTCCCCTTTGCCATTTCAACTCCAATAGGCAGTCCTAGGGTAAGAATTGGTTAAGCCAAGAACTGCTGACCTAAACAGCTGATCAGAGTCTTTTACCATAGAAAACAAATTTCGGATTTTCCTACTTTAATTAGATATGCTGGCCTCTTTCAGATTGGTATCCAAAACATTTATTAGTTTTTGGGCAGGGGAATTTCAACTTTAGGAACTCTTATTCAGACGTGAATTATAGTATCAATAATTCTATGCTTCAGCCACAGAATATAATTACTCTTCTTGAGATTGCCTCTTACATTCTTCTATATCCATAGTAGATTAATCTTCCCGTGATTTTTCTCTAAACAGATCAACTACATCCTAGGTGATAACCCCATGAAAATGAGCTATGTGGTGGGGTATGGCACCAAGTTCCCCAGACATGTTCATCACCGTGGGGCATCAATACCCAATGACAAGAGAACGTATTCATGCACAGGCGGATGGAAGTGGCGTGACAGCCCCAAACCCAATCCTAACAACATTACAGGAGCCATGGTCGGAGGGCCTGATAGGTATGACCGGTTCCGTGATGTTCGTAAAAATTACAACTTTACCGAGCCAACTTTAGCTGGAAATGCAGGCCTGGTTGCTGCGCTTTCATCCTTGACAAGCAGTGGTGGAGTTGGCATCGACAAAAATAGAATGTTTTCAGCAGTTCCACCTCTCTACCCTCCAAGTCCTCCACCTCCTCCAGCTTGGAAGCCTTGAGCTGCTAAATTTTGTTATCTCCAACAGCTAGAGCTTTGTTTATCATACTCCTGCTCCTAAAGTTTCGTTTTCGAGCTCTAGTTTATACACCATTGTACACTCGATATGTCCATTACTGTGCAACATCTGGATCTTCATGATACACAGTACACTCTTCTAAACAAACTGTTGCTTTGCTGAACTATCAATGCAAATGTTTCTGGGAAAGTGATTAAACTTAACCGGCTTAACTTTACAAATGACCACTGATTTGCACTGCAACCTAATATGCTAGTTGATCTGTCTTTCACTAGCTGGTATGAAATCAGTCCACTGCCATTCTTCACCAACAAGATTGGTTCATCATAACCCTCAATTTGTCCAGTGGCTTAAAGATTTAATATTCTTTGGAAATTCAGATAAGCTGGGAAAGCTTTCAACATAATACAGTAATTGTAGTGTCAAAGGCTAAACAACTCACAGTAGGAACACAATTGCCATTCTCTTTCTCTCTCTCTCTCACTCTTCTAGGGTACATGGAATAGCAAAAAAACAGAGCCTAAAAGACATAGCCGTCGCATGCTAATTATTTCTCAGGAAATCGGACAGCAGCAGTAATCTCAAAATAACAATGGCATAGAAAGTGTGGGTGATGTCGAGTATATACAGCAAACAAACAGTATCCGCATAAATTCGTACGAATTAGCTACAAATGGAAGAAAATATCGTTGTGAACATCAAGCATGAAGGTGTAAATAATGTAATTTGCTAGCTGTCTATCCAAAAAAACAAAACAAAACAAAATCGTTGGATTATATTACCATTTTGCTACGTGGGGAGTTGTTGCCCAGCAAACCTTCAATAAGAATATTACTTTTAAAATTAAGGGCAAACAAAAGCTACCTCTGATCACCATATTTTTATGGACATCGGAGATCATATTTCAACACACGCTCATATATTCATTCTAGCTGTCTACCTGGCTACCACCGCCCATAATCCCAGCCCATCATCTAGTTTTCACAAACAACCAAAAAATATAACCATCTAGATGGTGACCAAGTGGTAAGTACTTAGGATCAAGAGATTTGCTCCCTCTGTGGTCTCAGGTTCAAGTCCTTAGTTACTCATATGATAGCTACTGGAGGCTTACATGGTCGTTAACTTCAGGATCCGTAGGATTAATCGTGGTGCGCGCAAGCTGGCCCGGACACCCAACGTTAATCTAAAAAAAAAAAAAACAAACAAAAAATAATTTTTTTTTAATTTAATGAAAATTAGTTCAATGTTCATATTTTTTTTTTATCGCAATACATTAATAGAAAGCAATAAACCCATCAAACCAAAATTATTAATTAATAAAATTTAAAAATAATGAAATTTAAAAAAAAAATCATAAACAAATTAGAAAAAAAAATTGTAAATATATAACTTTTAATTCTAGTCTTCTTATTTTTAGAAATACTATTTCAATTTACTGTCTACTGTAAGGATGGGATAGCCGATTGACACAATATAAAAAAATAAAATTAAATAAAAAAATGGTAAGAGACTATTTAGGATTTTTCTTCCGATTGTACGAGGTCCTTTTATTTACTTTGTATATCTTAACTGGATAATTCTATAATGAAATCCCTTAATATTTTACAATGAACGATTTTTAATACTATTAAATTAAAATTTTGAGAAATATAAAGAATTGTGAGGATGCCCGACCCACTTCCCACCTGATGGGTAAAAACCCGAACCCGACTCGGCATATTATTGAGCGGGTATGGAAGAGTCTAAACCCGAGCCGAAAATCACTATCGCTAACCCTTTTTCACCAAGTCACGGGCTGGGCTCCAGGTTAGATTCAAGATGGAGGGCTCGTGGTTATGCAGTTGTACGGGTGATATAAAGATATTGGGCCTAGTTTAGTAGGGGGTATTGGGTTTTCTAAGTGAAATACTTAACATGTCTGCGCTCATACGTAACTTCACCTACAAATGGGATGGGCGTTGACCATTTAAACATGTGGGAAAATAATAATAATTATAAGAATTTATTTATGACATTCTTTCAACCTGCATAGTCGTTGTCATTGCATCCTGTTATCGGTTCTCTCTGATCCTATCCCGCCTCGACACCATCGCACTCTGTTCCCGTGACCCCGCCCAACTATCCAATGATGGTTTGGTCAATTTAGTGATATATTTGTTTTAATATTTTAAAAATAATTTTTAAAAATTTATTTTTATTTTAAATTAATATTTTTAGATTATTCTATTTACTCATATAAAAATATTTTTTAATAAAAAATATTTTTTTAATATATTTTTTAATAAATTTTTTTTAAAAATAACTACTATATTTTTTAACATTACATGGTTGTAAGTCACGAAACCGAATTATAGCTTCATAAAATATAATTATCACCACACTCTTGAAATATTACTCAAAATGTTAATGCAAATGAGAATCGTAATATCTGTTGGAGCCCGTTAAATATTGTAGTAATAATAATGTTAAAATATAATATAAAATTGTTTTTGAAATTTTATTTAATAGTATAAGATTTTAGGCTGAGATGTTTTTAATATATTGTTTTTAAAAATATTTTTGTTTAAAAATATATCAATTTTTTTTTAATTTTTTTATATAAACATATCAAAACAATAAAACAAATAATTAAAAATTTAAACCTTTTTAAGAGCACTGTTTTAAACATGAAAACAAGCTCTTTAATACTTATCATCGTGACCACGTGGAGTCAAGATTCTACAAATCCCAATCAAAGAGTTGTTTCCTTTGACTCTGATAGGTAACATAAAGAAAGGCACGTAACTTTTTCAATTAAAACGACAGAGAAATAGGAAGAGGTCCATGGACAATTAGGCTTTTTTATATGTATACACGCACAAGATTTCTTCCTTTTTTTAAGGAAAAAGAAGAAGACAAAACCTTTTTGAATCGTTTTGAACTGTTTTCAAAGCACAAGACATCTTTTTCTACATCAATAAATAAATCTTGAAGTGATTGGTTAAAATCTTGACCGTTCAAAAAGAAAAAGCCACAAATTCTTAATTTTTTTTATTTTTAACTGTGAGGATTACTTGTTTTGATTGCTACTCTTTTTCCTGTAATTAATATTGATATTTATCTAAATTTTGTTTTCTTGTTATCGATTGACAACGTTGAAGATATTCTTTCTAATTATTTTTTATAGGTAATTAATAAAATTTTATAGGTAGTTATTAGTTATTATCTTTTTTTTTTAAATAATTGTAATTAGATTTTTTCGCATTATTACAGATATAAAAATAATACAAAAATTAGATTTAATTATTAACTACTCCTATCAAAAATAAAACTGATTACAAATTTGAGTCATGATACATGATTTTAAAAAAGCATATAATTTTCTCCATTTAAATAAAACAAGTTTTACATGAATAAAATTGGTTAGATTAACCTGTTTTTCTATAGGTTATATTTTCACCTAATAACTTTTTTGATTGCTTTTATATTGGGTAAATTTTGTTAATTCTTTCATGTGTTTTACCCACAAGAATATAATTTTTTTGATTAAAAATGTTATTTTATATACTTTAGGATATTTACCAATATTAGTAATTAACAATTATATAATTCAAATAATTTTAAATTCACCTTAATCTTCAATCAAAATGGGCAAACCATTTTTGATTAAAGATTGATTGAACAGTTATTTTTAATCATTAAACAAAGATAAATAAGTCTGGAATTTTTTTTTTTCATTTTGTTTGGTCAATAACTATAAAATCCCTAAATCCCAACTAGTGATTGAATTTGATTGATGGTAAGATTGTATGATAAAAAAATTACGAAAAAAATGTATATTGATAAGGAGACTAATTACACGCATCAAGTGGGTTAGAGAGGGCAGGGTTCCTTGAACTAAAATTAATTATTGTTTTTACACAGATATAAATATTTATGGGGTTTTATATATAAAAAAAGACATTTTTTTACATTCTATTTATTGATGGAAAAAAAAGGACAAATTCTTTCATTATTTAATTAATTCATATTAAAAAAACAGAGTTTGCGTCACTTAAGAGGGATTACAGGAATTTGGAATCTTTTTTGACACCCCTGATAAGATACATCTGGAAGGAAAGTGTTTCATTTAATGTAAATATCTTGGGATTAAATTTGATAATTTAATTAATATTAAAGTCAGCACCTATATATCCATCCATTAAATTTTAAGGGCTAAGACTAAACTAACAATGTTAATCTTTCTTTATGTGAGTTTGATAGTGATATGTACAGTGTTTTTTTAAAATACTTTCTAATTAGAAAGATATTAAAATATTTTTATTTTTTATTTTATTTTTAATATTAACAAATTAAAAAATACAATAATATAACACTAAAAAAACAATTAAAAAAACGCTGTAAAGATAGAGCAAATAAACAAGCACTCCTGTATGAGTGCTCCACTTCCAAAGAAACCAACGAACACCACCAAGCAAAAAGAAAAAGAAAAATATAAAATCCACCACTACTGTCAGCTATTCTAATCTCTTACAGTATTGTACCGCGCAGTCCACAGCTGTAAATTTTTCAACCTCTCTATCCGTTATTCTCTCTCTAATGTCTTAAAATCTCAAACCCCAACTTCCTCTCCCTGTATTGTCTCTCCTTTTCGGTTACAAGGAATCAACAACAACAATAGTTATGGACCCAAACGACGACGTTTTCTTCTCCGTTCACTCTCCATCTTCCCAAATCAACAACAACGATGATTCTTCTTCGTCTTCACCTCCGGTCCGAACGCCCAAGATCTTCGACCGTTATGTTTCCTCCTCAATCTCATCACCATCCTCATCTGACTACGAGGACGATTCACAGCCCTCCAACTCCATCTCCTCCTTGGAAGCCTCCACTAAACGCCTCGATTACATGATCCAATTCCTCGACCGCAAACTCTCCAACAACTCCACAACCAATACCTCATACAACGACAGTGTTTCCCACACCCACAAAACTCTCGGTTTACCCGAATTCATCGGCAAGGGAGGAGGAGCCGGAATTTTCCGTGTCCCGGTTCGAGCTGCGGTTCACCCAGACCGTCCACCGAGTCTCGAAATTCGGCCACATCCATTGAGAGAATCTCAAATTGGTCGGGGTTTGAGAACGATTGTAACCACCGAGAATCAACTATGGGGTGGGAGAGAAAACGGTGTTCAGGTCTGGGAATTGAAGGAAATGT